CAGGGCGGCCCTCGCTGCCTCCGCTTCCAAGGGAGCTGTAGCAATCCCGGGGCTCTCTTGCCCTTCCCTGTAAATAAGTAGAGCACTCCTCCCTCCCCTGCTTCCCCGGTGTCGTGCGGTGGTAAAGCCTCACTTTCCCCGTGCGGTTAGCAAGTTTTGGGTGCTTCCTCGCTGTGCTCCATTGATCAAATTTGGGGTATAGCTGGAGCAAATCATCTCTTTTCCACACTGGTCACGCTTCTGTTTGGTTTCCTAGTTTTCTATGACAAGCAGGGAGGAAATAGATCTATAAAGTTATTTAGACATTTAATTCCCATTGAAGTTGACTTCATTTGGATTTGGCACCTAAAAGGTTTTTTTCTGGGGGTGGGGTGTTGCCTGCAGTTTACAGTTTCTCTTTTCTGTTGTTTTTTTTTTTTCTATTAGGAGCCTGTGTCACTGCTTCCCAGACTCCCCTACTCCCCCGTTCCTTTTTTTTTATTTTTTTATTTTAAACCAACTGTTGGCTTTCTTCTCGAAGAAGAAAAGACTGTTTTGTATGCTTATTCTTTCCTTCTCTGGGGTAGCGGGAGGAAAAAAAAAATACTGAATGCTTCAGTTGAGCAAGCGGGATTTACATTTGCACTGAATTTTACTTTTTTTTTTTTTTTAAATCTGGGTCTTGAAGATAACACACATACTTGTCAACTTCAGAGAACTTGACCACCTTGTAGATCTTACCAGAGTTTCATACTGTTAGGTACTATTGTGAAACAAATGCTTTCAGTTTTTTAAACCTTGTTTATTCACTTATCTGTTACATTCTTCTCAACGTCCAAGTGTCATGTCAGTTGTTCCATTTCTCCTTCTTGCCCCTTCACATGTACTTGTGTTGGCTTGGTGTCTGGTATAAATCTGTCAGCTTTCTCACAACCTTGGGAAAGCAATAGCGCTGTCTTTTACAGATGTAGTGACTAGATTAGCAGGCCATAGGCTTTATCTCCTCTTCTCTCTGAGGAAATAAAACAAAACGAACAAGTGAAGAAACTGCTGTTGCAATGGACCTGTTAAACTTCACTTCAGGGCTTGCTTACAAGAAGAGAAGAAACATCCAGACAGAGCTGAAACTGACAGACATAAATCATGTATCGACTCTTGTCATTTGATAGTGTGATCTTCCTTGTCTCAGTGGTTTGCTGGACTTTATCATTTGCCTTATGAATATCTCTGCTGATTCTCCATTTTATAATCTGAGAGCTGATGTTACCTGAGCATCCGTTTCATGTCTTGGTAACTGCTGTATCATACTTGTCTAGTCTTCTATGCAGACTACTTCATGTAAAGACGATATGCTTACTTTTTACTTTATTTGCTTGAATTAACTTCTGTGACTAAAGGATAAACATTTATCCTACCATTCTAGTGATGGTGGGGTCTAAAGGGTATGGATCTTGCCAGCATTAGGTTCATTTTTGCCAGCCTGTTAAGAAGGATGAATTGCCTTCAACTAGGAGTAGTGTCAAAATGTATTAAGCCATGACAGACGGAATGTTTTGGTTTTATGACTTTGGCATTCTGTCCACCTTTTGTTGTAATTTCTTTATCAGTCCCATTATCTTCTATAGTGGAGGACTGACACAGCAAAAAATCTCTTCATTTCAGTTCACTTCTCTGTATGTAACTTTTTCCACCATTGCTCTGCAGTGTAAAGGGTTACTGTTTTGCAGCTTAAATCCATTTCCTTTCCTGTGTCCTGGTAGCTGACTCAAAGCTCACTTCCTAGTGTTAGAGAATTGTTCCAGTAACCTCCTCCCCTCCCCATTCTCCTTATTGCTTTTTTTTTTTTTTTGGCCAGCCAAAATGTAGTTCTGAATATTGTCATGTGAACTGTGGATGAGAATGGTCAAAGCAGGTTGTCTGGCTAGGGATGTGGCAGGGCTATTTTCACAGCAGTTCTTTCAAAGGAGCGATGTCAAGCTGTGGTAGATGGTGCAGTGAAATTGCATTGTAAACAATGATGAATGTCTGACCTTTCTTCAGCAAAATTGAACTTCCTCATCACCTAACATACTGCAACTCAGTATTCACGTCTGAAACAAACTCTCATTCTTCAAGTACTCTAGGCCATCCTTGTCTTTATTCACAGCCATGCTCACTGTATACATAATATTCTTTGTTTGACTGCTGAGAATATGGTAATAGTTATTGAATAAGGAACTAACTAACTTTTTTTACTACTCCCCAGTGCTTTTGTTTTGGTAATTGACTTTGTTTGAATATTTGTGTTCTAGATTGAAGGCAGCAGTAATGCTAACTCTGGCAAGCAAGTTGAAGCGGGATGATGGTGTCAGAGGACCCCGTGCATCCAATCCAGCTTCTGATTCAACTCGGAGGGTGTCTGTTCGAGATAAATTACTTGTTAAAGGTGAAAGGAACTTATATTTAAGTATATTTTGGGGATTTACAGTTTGCAGGTGTGTTGTCACTAAACAATATTAAATTGCATGTAAAATGATTTCCAGAAGTATCTTTAAAATTGCTTGTGACTTACCTTGGGATTTATACTGTATGGTGTATATATAGGCATACATCACATCTCCAACAGCTCTTTAACTGTAGGATACTGTCGCGGCTTAACCTCAGCTGGCAACTAAGACCCATGCAGCTGCTCACTCACTACCCTCATGGCAGGATGAGGGAGAGAATTGGAAGGGTAAAAGTGAGAAAAACTTGTGGGTTGAGATAAAGACAGTTTAATACGTAAAGCAAAAGCTGCACATGCAAGCAAAGCAAAACAAGAAATTCATTCACTGCTTCCCATTTGCCGGCAGGTGTTCAGCCATCTCCAGGAAAGCAGGGCTCCATCATGTGTAATGGTTACTTAGGAAGACAAGTGCCATAACTCCAAAGGTCCTCCCTTCCTTCTTCTTCTCCCAGCTTTAGATGCTGAGCATGACGTCGTATGATCTGGAATATTCCTTTGGTCAATTGGAGTCAGCTGTCCCGGCTATGTTCCCTCCTAACTTTTTTGTGCACTCGCAGCCTACTTGCTGGTGGGACCGTATGAGGAGCAGAAGAGGCCTTGACTGCTTAGTAACAACTAAAACCCAAAGCAATGCTATTCTCATCCCAAATCCAAAACAGTACTATACCAGCTGCTAGTAAGAAAGTCAACTCTATCCCAGCCGAAACCATGACAGACACATGTTTTCATTGAATAATGCAAAACATAAAAAGCCTCATCCTTACTCTGCTGAAAAATTAATCCATCATTGGAAACTGTGTCATCAATTAAAGCATTATGATAAAAAATTGTCACATAAGTCTTGCTAAATATATAGAAGGAGAATATCAGATTAGAGTTGATGGAAAGTTATTTTTTGAGCAAAACCATAACTGCTTCTGACAGAAAAGAAAGTCCTAAAAGTAATGTTAGTGTCCTGGTGGTCTCTAATGGTACGCATCAGAGGCAATAAACTTTAAAAGGCTTAAAAAAGTAATGCAAAGAGATACTTTTCATAGGTGTGGAGTCACTGGAAGTTGAGTATGAAGTAGTAAATAAAAACCCAACACCCTAATTTTTGTAGCACCATGTGGTCTGTTCTAGAAAGGCTACTGTAGGTTGTAACTAGCTGGTTTTCCATTGGTGGGAAAAAAACCCCAACTTTTTCTTTGTGTCAGTTCTGGGTAAATGAGGGAGTTTGTGAGACAATAATTAAGCTTTTATAGTAAAATTGGGGACACCTCTTACTTGCTTTTCAGTTTTTCTGTAGCACAGATAATCTTATATTTAAAAATCCGTAAGTGCTGGCACTTTGCAGCTACTGTGCACTTAAACTCTGGTTTACTCCCTCTGTTAATAGTTGAGTGTTTCAGTGCTTCAGCTGTGCACCTTAATCTAGTGGCAAGGAATACACTGTTCAGGTTGATGTTTCCGCTAAAAATTGTCAATAGCAAAAATACTGTGGATGTGTAAGCTGTCATGGTTAGGATTCGTGTCAGTCAAATGAAATGCTCACATTTCCTGGTTTTATTTCAGAGTGACTTGAGACTGACACTGGTATATTTGCCTGAATGATATTGTCTAACTATAGTATTACATATGGCATTTTCTAATAAGGGTAGATTCTGCCATAAAAATGTATACTGGAGCAAGGTTTAATTGCAAATGCTACTGCCTCAGTGCGCTGGGAGTGCCTTAAGCAGATTGTAGGAATGTTATGTTTGCAGTTTTCTCTAATGGCATTGTTCTAAAGACAGGAAGTTTTAATTCGCTTTTAACCCTGATATGATAGCTCTTGCAAGGAGCTTGCTTTAGGCTTCCAGTTTGGAAATCCTCGGTTAACGCTAATTCTGAGGGGCAAGGATATCGGGCAGGAGGAATAAGCTCTTCAACCAGGCTAAGCTACAAAGCCAAATTACTAAATATATATAATCTGATATTTTCACTAACCTACAAGTGTAAACTTGAGGGGAAAATAGCAGTGTAATATAAATACGCTTCAGCTACAGTGCCTGCTATAGTGTGAGGTGGCATAAGAAATTTTACTGTACCCTTAGTAAGAGCAGTCATGTTTTTTGCTTTTATGACTAAAACCTTACCCCTGTCTGCAGGGGGCAAAAAGAATGTAAGCTATAGAAAATTAGTATTGACATTGTAATTGCTATGGCTACTATTAGCAAACCAGCACAGACCAAGTATTGAACGATTTGAGTCCCAAACTGACAAATGTTAAAAGCAGGTCACTGCTGACATCCTTCTGACAAGTGCGAGTGTTGGATTTTGATCTGATTGTGTGTGAAGGTTGTATCACGTGGCTCTCCCAAAAGAGTTGTAGGAGTGGCTGTAAGAGTGGTTAGAATGGTTTTTGGACTGAAATGGGAGCTGACGGTAGAAATGGATCACTTCAGTATAACTACATTGAAAGTGAGGGGAAAATATAGTAGCTAGTCTGAAAAAGATTTGTTGGGGATATTCTCGTTTAAGCTACTCTTTAAATGTAGACTATTCAATCACAAAAGTTTTTAGAACTTGCTCCAGCTCTTAAAGCTAGATCAGCTGAAGAAGCATCTACAATGTTGAGAGCCTGAGTGAAGATGGACTTCTGATGTTGATAGTTTTTTTTAGGTCACATTGTCTAGATTCACAGGAATGAGTTTGATAGGGAGTGAAGAGGTGACTGCTAAAGGTGTGTATACAGCAAGGATCCTATTGCATCTGGACCAGTGCTGGTGCCTTCCATTGCTTGAGTGTATGGAACTGTAATAGCCTGGTGTACGCTCAACTTCAGGCTGTTGTATTAGACTTGAAACAAAGTTTCAAGACTGTAAGAGTAGTTACAAGTAGAAGTTGTTGCTGATGTTTGTTTATACTGGAGGTATAAAACAGAGGTGACAGTTGCAGAATGGCTTAAAGGCTATGGTCAATCTCCTGGCAACTGGATTAAAAAAAAAATCAGTTCTACACACACACACACAAAAAAAAAATAATCCTGGCCATAAGCAAGGAAGGAGGAGGAGGAGATAAGAAAAGGCCCAGCATGTGTTGTCCTTGTTTGTCCTAGCAGTTGTGCTGAGATTGGTACTGGTTCAGCTGTACCTATTAGTGGTGTTAGAACTGGTGGGTTTATTCTACTGTACAAAGCCTCTGATGAGTTGAAAAAGAGTTGAAACTCTTTCTGAGTTGAAAGAACAAGGAACTGTGGTCACATACATTAGAAAGCCCAGTGATGGCTATGCTCTTTTCTGTAGCACATATGGATCGTTTCTGGCCTCAGTTAAGTCTGTAGCTTCTGAATGAACAGAACAGAAGGTGACTGATCTGTGCAGTGTCCTCCACAGCAGCTTACACACATGGTGGGCTGTCCTGGAAGCTTAGCTGAGGGTGATTTTTGGCACAGTACCCTAAATCCCGCCTTGCCCTGAGAGCTGGTGATGGTGTATGAACCAAAGTCAGATAGCTGTTTGTCTGCTCAAGTGATGATGTGCGAGAGAGATACTCTCCTATTCCTCATCCACAGTAAATTGGTGATAGTCTAATAAATTCTGCAGGCAGATGTCTGCTAGTTTTACTAGAGGTGTCGCCCAGGCGCAGATAGTGTCTAGTTTTTATCTGTTTGTGTTGATAGGAAGTCCAGTCCAGGGAGGCATTATAGGATCTCTTTGAAGCATGTGTTGTCACACTGATAACCCTGCAATCCTCAAATGTATTGTGTACACTGACTGGTAAATAGATCAATGTCTCTTTGATTATGGGGTAGATGGCCATGACTTCAGCCACTGCTAAGTGTAGACGAGTCCTGCAAACTTTTAAAAACTTGACATAGACCAACTACCTATGTCTTCTAACTGATACCACCTTAAAATAGGGAAAAAAGTGATAATTCAAGTATGATGTTAGCTATTTGTACCTTATGAAAGAGAAGAAAGTTCAAAGTTGGCATTTGAAATATTTTTAGTAAAATTGGAAGTATGTGAGCTATCAGTAGTGTGTCGTCAGGTGCTGCTGTCCCTGGATTTAGTGATGGGTGCAAGTTAAACAGGCTTTTTTTTCCACTTATATGAAAAGTTACTCTTAAAATACTGGTGCCCTTTGTTATTTTTTCTAAGCTGTCCCTTGGTATTGTTATATATTCAAATATCAGTCATGGCTCAGGGCACTGTTTTGTTGGGTTATTTCATGGACGTATTATGAAAGGAAAATTTTTATTGTTAATTTTTTACGTAGGAAGTCATTCTAGACAGCTGGATATTCTCTTCCAGCTGTTTTTCCTCTGGGGTGTTAGTCAGGACTGCTAAAGAGGATTTGGTAGCCTGTACCCTGCTGATTATCTCAGCAACTAATGGAGCATGTTTGGGAGGTTAGCAGTGAGGATCACAGTGGTAATTTTGATCTGAAACCCTGGGAAGTTGCAGGAGAACATCCACCACTTCAAAATCACTGAGGGCAGGAGAGCCTGAGGGTGTGGGAGGGCAAGAACTAGTAATTCAGGCTGCCAGTTCTTGCAGAAGGGCTTTCTGGCCAAGGAGGGGTGGACTGGAGAGAGACCAAGCAGTGGCTAACATGTTTCTAGACATATCAAACAGAGGAAATGTGGCAACAGGAGAAAGTAGAAAACAAATGCTGATGTGGGGAGGAGGAGGAGGAGACAGAAATGGTGCTTGAAGGGGCTCTGCTGCCTCTCTGGCAGGGAGAGAAACTCTCATAAAGCACAACTTTGTTAAAAGTTCAGTATGACTCATCCTTGCAATTCTATTTTCACTGGATTTTCAGTATAGGCTCAGTTGGAGAGCAGGGCCCTAATCTCTCTGCCTAGTACACCAATTAAGATAGAGCAAGAAGTACATTTGCTTTAGCAACTGTAGGTTTTTTTTCTGTGCTGCAGAGGCAATTTTTGATGTTAAAACAGCTTTAAATTAATCTCTAAGGGGAGACTTAAGTTAGGAATAGAGGCCACGTGATTGCTCTGGGCCATGCAGTGCTGAACTTGAAAGGCAGATCCTTTCTGAAAATTTCAAGGGGGCTGAGGACAAGCCAAAGTAGTATTTAAGTTTAATATTGTATAATAAATGTGACTACTAAATTGAATTAAAGATAAAGAACATGCCAGCATATCAGTGGTAGCAATGTGTATCACTTATTGATCACCAAGGTTGTCCCTTTAACTGCTTTTTTGTAGTGCACCTAAACATCATCATTCAGTTTTATATTACCAGTACTGCTTAGTTAGATTGTGACAGCTTGAAATAACTTGATATCTTAGAAAACGAGTTAGCATGGTTTATTCCTCAGTTGGCTTCAACACTTGAGGCTTTTACAACCAGATTTATGTAACTGGAAGATGTTTCAGGTATGCATTTGTGTAAGCCTGAGAGAATGGAAGTGTGAAACTGATTATAAAAGGGTACATATAAAAGTACATGCATTGTAAATAAAAATGAGAATCCATATATTTGCTTTCTTCAAGCCTTCAAGTACAGTAATATCCCTTCTCACAATAATAGGTGAGGAAAATTGGGAAGGTAGAAAATACTGTTCTTTTGAGGACTAAAGAAAACCCTTCCTTCATGAACACTCTTAAGATTACGTGAGGCATTGTTTTGAAAATGCTGCATTAAATTCTGCACATTGCACATGAGTCATAAAAGCATTTCTTTTTCAGTGATGCTTCTTATCCCCTCCCCAAATGAAAAGCTTTGTTTTGGAAAAACACAGTGGCAAGTTGCTTGATAAATGATTGATTCATATTTATTAAAGAGGAAGCTAGTAGTTCACACTAAAATGTTTGCCATGTAATTTTTATAGATATTGTAAAGCCAAAAAGATGTAACAAGAATTGAAGCTAATTTGAAAAATGATTACTGAGACTTTTTCTAGAGCTTCACTGACAAAGGAAGGCCTGGTTCAATGTATTGCTTCACTTATGCCTCTGATTTTCAGCATACCTGAACTGATACATTGCAGAGTTAGAGATTTCCAAACCAGTGTCTTTTTCTAGTTTTTGATATCAGGGTAAGTTTTGTAATAGTGTATAGAAGCTGAAGCATGCAATTTGATAGTATCTTGTTTAAAATAAAAATTCGGTAGTGGAAGGAAAATATATATCTCTTACTCTATTGAAAAACTGGCAGTATTAAGTGGCTTGTTTGACTTCTGATACTGGTTTGTATTGACATACTGGCAAATGGTTTTTTTGTCAATGTGTCAAGGTATTTATCTTGATCTCTAGCAGTGTTAAAGATGTACATTAAAGAGGAACCTAACCAGGAGTGGGGGCTTTTTGGACAAAACCAGAGAAAAGTAAGTATTGCTGTGGATGAGGACATTAATTTCAGTTAGGGAAATAATGCTTTCATTTTGTGTACTTAAGAGCAAACTCCAGTGGGAAGCATATGGCCTGACTGTGGTAAGGCTAGTAGACAAAGCACTTCTATGTTCTGACTTGTGTTGAGGTGGGGGAAGGGGAGTGAACAGAACAATGTGATTATAGTCTGTGCGTTACTGGATACAACATTCATATGGGGGTCTCATAAACCGTATAACTGTACACACGTCAAGAATGTGTGTTCCTATTTCTGTCCTGAGAATTGTCATGGGTCATTGTCATGAGAATTACTGTTTGTGAAATCACTTATAAATAGCTCTGGTTGCTTGTGTTAGGCTTAATATCCCCCTGTTTTGTAAAGTTCCTAAGCTGTTTCTGAGACATAATCAGTTTGCATTCAACTCTTCCAAAGTCTGTGGTAGGTTTAAGTTTGACCCTTGCCTTTTAACTCTTTTTATGGTTTAAAATAGCATTTGAACTGTTCAACAAGAGCATTCTGGGTCAAGAGCAGGACTCTGCAAATGTACCTACCACTTGGGTGTGCTCCTGCACCAGATCAAGTAACGTTTCAGCAACACCAGACTGGCTGGTTGGGAGCTAGTCTGGGTCTGGGCTGACTGCACCCGTGCTTTTTTCCCTGCAGAAGCTCTGGTGTGTGTCTGCACTTACCGCCTTTCAGACATAGCCAGAATGGCTTATCAGCGTGGGTGCTCCTGGGTTTGCTGCTTCTTGGCAATCAGTCCTCTTGATTGCAAGAGGAATTCAGATGGTCTGCAGTGTTTCTGCACCTCCGCTGAGCAGGCATCGACGAGCAGTGGTTTCGCATGGAACTTCTGGAGTGCTTTCGCACAGTATTTCCTGAGACTTGGGTTGTCCAGTTGCTTGTCTCTGCATCTTAAGGAACGATTAGGTGCCTGACTGCGAATTGAGACACAGGTACTGATTATCCACAAAACATTATGAAAAGCAGTCAAATTAGATTTTCTTTACTGTTCAGCTGTAGTTACAGTCATTTTTTGAAAGAGGAGCTCAGAAAGATTGTGAGACTAAGTTCATTCTTTAGTGAGGCTTTTAGAGTTCTTGGAGCTTCAGTGCATTGGTGTTATAATTGCTGGTTCTGTGTTTTGCTTATTTACAAATCTGTTAAACCGTGCCAGACTCCACAAGGGGCATTCTCGTATGAAGAATGTTCTTGTCAGTGGTATTGCTTTATGCAGAAAATACATAAGATAAAACATCAGAATCTTAATGGAACTTGAATTACGTGGTCAAAATAATTTGTTTTCCAAGCAGAAAAATACAAAAATTATTTTAGCATCAAGACTGTCGCTCCCAGAGATTCATAGAATTTGGCAAACTGGCAAACACTGTAGCTTTAGGCCATTAAATGTGCTAGTTAATCACCAATGTTAATATGGCACAGTTAATAGTAACATCTGTTTCTGTACTTGGTGTTACTTTAAAAGTTCAGATTATTGATGCAGCTATTTACCTGCTTTTTTTATAATCTTCATATAGTTGTTTACTTCTTAACTTCAGTGGTTTGCTGCAGAGTTGTTTAGAAACCTTAATTTTGGGGAAGTTGCCTTTGTTCACAAAGCTGTCATGTAGATTAGTTATCATAGCCTTCCAATGTGTTTGCACACCTTCAAAGAAAGACCATGCTGTTCTGTACTCATGGGTGTGAGCACCTTCATTTTTATGTTTTCACAAGAAAACCTGCTCATTCTTGTGCCAAGACAAAGGGAAACACAGAAGTGCAAATGCGTTACAGGAAATTTTTCAGACTTCAAAGGAGCTATGGTGGTCAGTAAACTCTCTACTGAACCTTGCAAGAGGCAGAAGTGAGGCCCCAGCTCACCAGAGCTGCTGCAGCCCCGCCATTGCTGGGTTTGAACGTGCTCTGTCTTAGTTTCTTCCTTTTCCCTGCCTGCCCTTTTCTCAGAATTGAAGCAAAGGGTGAACAGGATTCATTAAGCTGAACAACACACAAGCACAGAAAGCAACAAGGAAAGCAGTCAACACCTTGAAATAAGAGTCATGTCCTAAACTCTACCCTCTAGTGAAGATTGATAGTGCCTCCCACTCTGAAAGGGTGGAGAGTTTAAAGAGAAAGGAGTGGGGGAACACTTACGTGGGTTTGTATAGCTGCAGCAGTTGGTTATGTCGCCTTTTTTTTTTTTTTTAACCAGAAAGGTAAAGTAAAAATAAAGTCCTTGATTATAGCTGAAATTACAGTTTTGGTGTATTGTAAAGATAGTACAATTGAAAACTTTTTGCAAAAGTATAACCCCAGTGTAGTCTGTCTTCCAGTGCACAACTTTAGTTAAATCAGCTGTGGCTGCTCAGATGCTGTGGAATGTGGGATTTTAAAGAGTGCAGTTGTGAACTTTTTAGGTAAGTGTGAAACGCAGTGTTTCTGTTTTCTCTCTTGGTATAGTAGGCTGCAGATGCAGGGATACCAGGGCCATGCTAAGCAAGTGGGAGGTGGGAGTCAAATAAGGATCATGCTTGCTGTGAAGACCAGCCTGTTTTGGGTTTTTTGGTTTTTTGGGGTTTTTTTTTAACATTGACCAATGCACGTTGCTGTGCCAGGCGCTTGAAGTGAAGGTTTGTATTTCTCTGTTCTTTTGGTGCTCTTAATGTTGGTTTCTGCAGGCAGGACCACATCTAGTATGACAGTACTCTTGAATTAAGGTTTCAGTAGCTGTTTTCAATCGTGCAGTATATGAGCTTGGAGGCTGCCCTTCAAAAGCAGTGTGTAACCTGAGGCAGTCTGTAGCTGATGGTGGAAGAACGTTAGCAGTTAGGTGCTGGAGAGTGGTGATGCTTATGCAGGCTGTGAATCTCCTGTGCTTGTTTTAATTGTTATACTGCCACCTTGATTCTTGAGGTTTTTCTGCTCTTGTGTTTTGCAGGCTGTGGAGTTCTGGCCTTCTGTATTTTTGTGCCTTACGTGGATGAGTTTGGAGGTTTGGATAATGCCATCTTTTGAAATGCCAGTGCTCTGTATTAGAAGTCCTGGCACTTCAGTCTTGGCAGAGCTGAACCTCCTAATCACAGTAGGATACGGTTGCATTGTCTGCAGGGCAGATGAGCTTTTTTAGTAATGAATTGTGTGGCTCAAAGAGAAATTTCGGGGTAAACCTCCAGTGCAGCTTAATTATATTTTTAAGTGAAATTTGATTTACAGAGTGGTTTAAATTAGATCTGCCAATTTGGACTTCAAGAATGGCTTCATGCTTGCGTAAATAACAGTGTTTTTTTTTCTTTCAACAGAGGTTGCAGAACTTGAAGCTAATTTACCTTGTAAGTATGGCATTTGATGACATGCAGTTTAAGGGGAAAAGGACCATTGAACTGAATGTTTTGACTGAAGTATGAATGCTAATGGTTTTTGTTAACTCTAGGGAAAGCTATGCAAAACTCTGCCACCCAGGCTTGAACAGGTTTTCCTTGTTACTCTCTTATGGGATTATGAAGAGGTGGATAGATAGTTAAAAATCAAGTATATGTTTTCTGCTCTTTAGGTTTAGAAAGCCTAGTTCTGTAATGGACAGGAAAACACAAAGCCCTTTTTTAAAGGGGAGTAAAGTTCCTACTGCTCAGTATTTGGTGCTGAGGGTGGGTGTTGACACTGAAGCTGAGTTGTTGCTGAGCTCCCTTTCCCTTCAAGCATTGGCCAGAACAGCGTCATTCTGCTGTGAGTTCTTGGAATACAAGCAAGCACAACAAGTAATTGCCTAGTAAGCGTGGAGGTACATTCAGAGCCCATTGCTCGCTCTGCATAACTTCCTGTGTTGCACGTTCCTGTGTCAGAGTAATCCAAGACGTTTTCCCTGCAGGGAAAGAGGCATGAGCTGTTTGCAGCAGATCGAGAGTGTATGTGCAGGTTATTACCCTGCTGTGCATTCACACTGTTTTACCCATATGTTTATCTTAGAAAAGGAGCAACCTGGTCTAGTCGGAGGTTGGAACTCGATGATCTTTAAGGTCCTTTCCAACCTAAACCATTCATGATTCTATGATTATGCTGGTAGGTAGCTCGTGATGTTTCTAGTCTTTACCCATGTAAGGGAAGCTTGGACCATATTTTTTTCTCTCCAGGTTAAACTTGTGAGTGTTGCTTCTGATGAGCATCTTCTATTTGTAATGATTCTAAATCTGGATCAATGCTCAGATCTCAAAAACCAGGTTTTTCAGTGTACAGACTGCCTGATGGGAGGAATTACAAGGGGGAAAAATACAAAACAGAAGCAGCAAAAAGGGAGGGCAGGAAGAGGCATTATTTAACTCTTCCTTTCTGTGTGCTTTTCTTTCTTACAGGCAATTACAGAGACTTTACAGAGAGCAGTTTCAACTTTTGTTAAACTTTTTTGTGTAGAATCTTCTATAGGGTAATGAATGCCTCAGAAACATGTATCGGGGCTTGTAGTTACTATAATGTGAACACATTACTAGGGTTTGTGTACAGTTCTAGTTATTTTTTCAGGCAAATAGGGTCTATATCTCTGATACTATTTAGCTTCTTGACTACAGAAAAAGAACAGCCAGCTCGATGGATTAAGAAGCTAAAGTCTGCATAGCATGGATAATAATGTATCAATGGATATGTGCATCTTCGAGTGCTAGCTTGACAGCTTGTCTCTGCCATAGTCAAGAAAGGCCAGTTTTGTGCATGGGAAGGCAACTTAGTTTGTGTCATCAAATGTGAACAAAGGGCTGTTATGCCGTGAACTTGCATCTGTTGAACTGAAACCACTGACTAGTTTCATCAGATTGATGTTTTATTTTTTTGTTCCACACTTGTTCTTCATTCTCACTATTCTCCTTAAATTAATCTGATCTGTGAATAAAACCATAGTGTTTGGTTTGCAATGATGCTGTTAATACGTGTAATTGGTTATGCAGAAGAAACTTGTTCAATAGGACAGCTGAATAGAGACTTCACTGGCTTTTGGATGAGGCTTTCAGTGAAGATTGTGTCTCATTATACCTTACAGGTATAAATAATCCTTTGGTAGCATAGGACTATGGTGGCATGACTCTTGCAGACTGCAGCGTATGACCAAGTATTAAGATACACATGTTACCATTAAATAACTTGTAAGAAAGAGATGCTCATTATGTATGCTGTCATCTTAACATGTCGCTTGTATATACACAGAAGACCAAATCCTTTGACATTTTAAGGTCTTTGAGACAGCATGGTTTACAGAAAGGAAATAAGCTTTCTCACAGCTCAAAGAAGTGAAATTCCATTACTGAAGGTGACCTGTAACTGTATAGGGAAGAGGTGCTCAGAGGCAAAGTACAGGAGGAAATAACTTGACTGGAAGGATTAATCAGGGAGTGAATTTGGAGAATGTGACTGGAATATTTCTCACTGACTGGAAAAAGGGAAATGTAATCCCTATTTTTAAAAAGCGAGGGGGAAGGAAAACTTGGGGAACTGCAGGCCAGTCAGTCTTGCCTCTGTGCCCAGCAAGATCATGGAGCAGATCCTCCTGGAAACTGTGCTAAGGCACATGGAAAATAAGGAGGTGATTGGTGACAGCCAACATGGCTTCCCTGAGGGCAAATCATGCCTGACAAATTTGGTGGCTTTCTATGACAGCGTTACAGCCTTGGTGGATAAGGGAAGAGTGGCTGGTGTCATCTACCTGGACTTGTGCAAAGCATTTGACACTGTCCCACACAACATCCTTCTCTCTAAATTGGAGTGACATGGATTTGATGGAGGGGCCACTTGGTGGACAAGGAATTGGCTGGATGGCCACAGTCAAAGAGTTGCGGTCAACAGTTCCATGTCCAAGTGGTGACCAAAGATGAGTGGTGTTCCTCAGGGGTTGGTACGGGAGCCAGTGCTGTTTATCATGTTTGTTGGCAACATGGACAGTGGGATTGAGTGCACCCTCAGCAAGTTAGCCAACACCACCAAGCTGAGAGGGGGGTCTGTGCAAACCTCATGAAGTTCAACAAGGCCATATGCAAGGTCCTGCACGTGGGTCAGGGCAATCCCAAGCACAAATACAGGCCGGGCAGGGAATGGATCAAGAGCATCCCTGAGGAGAAGGAATTGGGGGTGTTGCTTGGTGAGAAGCTCGGCATGAGCTGGCTATGTGCGCTCACGGCCCAGAAAGCCACCTATATCCTGGGCTGCGTCAGAAGAAGCATGGTCAGCACACTGAGGGAGGTGATTCTGCCCTTCTACTCCACCCTGGTGAGACCCCACCTGGAGTACTGCGTCCATCTCTGGAGTCCCCAATGGAAGAAGGACATGGAGCTGTTGGAGTGAGTCCAGAGGAGAGCCATGAAGATGACCAGAGAGCTGGAGCACCTCTCCTATGGGAAAGGCTGAGAGAGTTGGGGTTGTTTACCCTGGAGAAGAGAAGGCTCCACGGAGACCTTATTGTGGCCTTCGAGCACCTAAAGCGGGCCCCCAGGAAAGATGGGGAGGGACTCTTTTATCAGGGAGTGTGGCAATAGGACGAGGGGTAATGGTTTTAAACTGAAAGAGTTTAGATTTAGGTGAGCTATTAGGAAGAAATTCTTTACTGTGAGGGTGGTGAGGCACTGGGACAGGTTGCCCAGGGAAGTTGTGGATGCCCCATCCTTGGAAGCGTTCAAGGGCAGGCTGGACGGGGCTTTGAGCAACCTGGTCTGGTGGGAGGTGTCCCTGCCCAGGGGGGCAGCGGGGTTCGAACTAGATGATCTTCAAGGTCTGTTCCAACTCTAACCATTCTATGATGAAAGATGGTATACTTGTTTTCCTAACAGTGGAAAAACAATTGTCTGATGTAAATTATTGTTTTTCTTCACAGGTACATGTAAAGTGAATTTTCCTGACCCAAACAAGCTTCATTACTTTCATCTAACTGTAATCCCAGGTAATTTTTTTTAAATGTTTTGTTTCTGTCTGCGTTTTTGTTTAGGACATGTAATTCCAAGTTTGCTCAAGAATCCCATTAGCTTTCTAGTCAAAGACTGGCTGCAATATAGTGGTTATTTTATAGGGGCAACGGAGAAATTGGGCTGGATTTTGAGAACTAAGTTCCGATAAAAAGGCCATCAAAATTGAGCAGATTTAGGAAGTATTCAGGTCGTGTTTTGTCCCTTTGATTGAAAGCTTTTTTTTTCCTCTCAGCCAATTTCAAAGGACCTTGTTTTATTTGCTGAGGGAAATCTCAGACTACATCTTCAGAAATTAGTCTGTTACAGCCCCGTTGTGTATTTACTCTTTTCTACTGATTGCTTGAGTCTACAGAGTTGAAAAGGTAGATGACTGATGTTAACACTATGGAAAATTTCAAATCTATGCATATCTGAAGGTGCTTAACAAGTAGGTGTCTCTTAGTCTTTGATTATTAAAGTATGTGGAAATCAGATAGTTTATTATTAATAATAACAAATGTAAATGCACTGTGAAGCATCTGCTGACACACTGTTCAATGAAAAGAAAACCTCAGGACTAAGTTTTCAGAATTTGTCATTTCCATTTAAATTTCTTAATAGCCATCTGAAGTTAGAGTTTGCTCACATGGCCATCCATTTTAGCATAAAAAGTTGTGTTTGTGTTTTATGGATGAATTTGTATGCAAGAATATTTAAATTTCATATGCACTACTTATTTTTGATCTATGTTACCTTTGAGACTCTGTGCAACTATTTAAACGAGAACATCGATGTGCTCGGTACATTGAATTAAATGTTTGAGTTAGATGTGCTGAGATCAGGATCTCCCTGCCAACTGATTCTCGTAGATGTACATTTTCTGTAGATGCTTATTGACAACAGAATTCAGATGCAGTATGATAGTCATCCTGATGTCTTATCTACATAAATAAGGGTTTACACTTAACAGGGTGATAGGAATTTTTCTGATAATTCAGTATCTTGAAGTCAAACAGGCGCTAGATGTCACTGTTGCTGCTTATTAGCCAAAATCAACTAGCACTTCCTCAGCTGTAGAAGTCTTGGGTGGTCTTTGTTAACATGTCCATTCATATGACTTCTTTTTGTGATAGAAAAATGAGTAAGACTTGCCGTAGTCAGTGTAATCAAAAGTAAATGCAAGTGCTATTATAGAACTTCTAACCTCTCATTCTGCGTAGGAGATGTATTCATGTTTACGTGAAGAGTTAGCCTGCTTGCACCAAATGTCCTTCAGTTTATATGATGCTGTTTTATTATATTTTGAAAATGAGTTGGCTTCACAAGATCATCACCATGTGAGTTAGGGATGTCTTGAATATGAAGCAATGGTAGCTTCTTCATGCTAACTTGAAGGTGTCTAAATACATAGTAATTTCTTTTGTCTGTTAACTGCTGTGCAGCAAGATGTTGCAGTCAGAAGACAGTCATGGGGTGCAGAGCATGGGTTTTGTGCTAGCTTCGTTGCTGAAATGATCTGGGGAATGAGGTGATCTTAATTAACATTTTGTTACTCTAAATATAGCCGCACAGCTGAAGTCTCTGCAGTTGCAGTCTGACCGAAGTAAACATCTATTTTCAGCTGTGCATAATTCAGGTACATAATCTCGTGATCAGCTGCAGCTTAGCACAGCTCTCTAAAGACAGAACATAAACATATCAAGGAAAATCTTTGTACCTTTCTGATTTCCTTTATTATTGAGGTTTTTCTTTAGAGTATGCTAAATCTTAGTTTTCTCTGGGGTAGCAGAGAAGCAGTTAAGTGGCTGTCACAGAATTTTTCTGGCTCAGATGGGCCAAAATCTTTGCTTGAGGCAACTATTTCTGCAGTGTCTAAACAATGTTGCATGAATCCTGACAGTCGTGGGGAAGAGCCAGGTTTCTTCCTCCTGCCTGGAACTGTCTCTTGCATTGAGGAGCTGAGTTACTTCTAGAAGTCCTGCTTGTACATCTGGCTCTTAAGGGTCTGCTTTGCAAATGTCTCTGCAGCTTTCCAGTTGTGGAACAAGAGCTGGGCTCAGCGCACCTGCGGGTGCCAGGGAGTATCTAATGCTGCCTTGCAGTTCTCGCTCTTAGGACCTATGTAGTAAGTGTGTGGTCTGCACAGCAAAGAGGTTCTTGCTGGCTCACTTAGGGTTCTCAGTTTGCTTTTCAGCAGTTACAGAGATTTCATGGTTCTATGACAGATCTGTTAAAGGGGTGCTAATTATTTTATATTCGTATTTTATGTTTTAAGTTCTCTTACATTCTGCTTAACATTAGAGCTTGAATTCTGTAACCGTATTTTACAACGAATCTCACACCAAGACAGTTTCTGAAAGTAGCCAGCTGTCGGGGTACCATGAAGGTACTGACTGAACATAGGTTTTAAAGCAGAAATGTCTTTTGTGGTCAGCATTCTAGCCTTATGTTATTGACAAAGCCTGTTCTCAGGTGCTTTGTTTTATGCAGTCATTTCGAATGCAGCTGGTCTTGAAAGGGCAGTGAAAGAAGCTTCTTTAGGTTGTCACAAAAAGGCTAATTTGAATAAGAAAATAATAAAAAATGCCACCAAGCAGAAATACTTTCAGCTCCCTTGCTCTGCGCTTCTCAAATAACCTTTCTTAGTAAGTATATAATGTCACAAAACTATTCTGGTGACAGTGAGTTTTAAATGAAAATGAATTTGTCGAAAATCTTGATGAGTTTGAGTGCTTATTTCACATAAAAAGTTACTTGTGCTCAAGAAATTCTGATTCCTTTATGCCATAGCTTTCTGCAGTGCACCATGAGTGGATATATAGTAGCACACACTAGAAAATGGGTAAGATTTAGATTTTACTGCCACAATGGACAAAGGGTGGGTTCCTGAGACGAATACTGCTGGCTTCCTCTGCAGTCTGAAGCTTCTTTTTCCTTTTGTCGTCTGAAACAAGTGTTCTGTTGTTGAAAAATGCCCTTACGCCACCACTTGTTCTTATTTTCGTATCAGTACCGTATTGGATCAAAAGCTAGGAAAAATAAGGAGATAGATGCTTATAACGCAGTCGGAGTCCTGCCTGCTGCACTGATATTTGGAGCACAAAATTGGAAGCTGAAATTAAAACATAGTAATGACCTGGGGAAAAAAACAAACAAAAAAAAAAAGATGAGTTTAGGTAGCTTGCACATGAAGAAAACTGGGGAAGTATGTAGGTTTAATGCAATTTTCCTGTAGTTCCCAGGCAGTTGGGGTAGTTTGGGGTTAGTGTGGTTATTTTATAGTCCCTTTCTTCATGGAATTAATAAAGAGCCTGTTTTCTGTTTTCATGCCATAAAATGACAAATGTTGGTGAGCGTGGCTGAGCATTGCAACACTGCTGATTTAAGAAGCTACTATCAAAAGCACATCCTTTGTGGCCTGTCCTCATTATCTCGCATTTTCTTTTAAAGCAATAAAAGAATTTAGTTTAGTATTTTCACAGCACTTTTTAGTCATCGAAACACCTTACAAATACAAACTAACATTAGGGTCAGGTTGTTGATAATAAAGCTTGAGGCTGAAGTGGGAGGGATGCTTGCTCTGTTAATACAGCTTGAAGACATAAATTTAAGCAGTAGGAGGAAAACCAGAGCTTAGACATATTCCCTTTTTGCAAAAGTCTCGTTAGTGGACAACTTCCTAAGTTATGTGCTAAAGCTATTTTATTTGACTGTTTTATTTATAGCACTTTTCGCATTATTAACTTTGCCAGAACTTCATTTTTTCCCACCCCTGTTACATGCCTAAAAATTGAGGGTCTTTGTCCCAGTCTATATGGGTGTTGTGGGACACAAGGAAGGAAACAATCGTGTGGGAGAACCTATTTACTTGCTTGAGATGCCATAAGATGACTTCATCATGAAGGCTCATCTTGTTAATGCATTGTGAGATTTCTGGCTGGGTACTGAGGCACTCCAGAGATACAAATTTTTAATATACATTTGAATGATTGGTAATGAATAGTATGCTTTATTGTTGCTTTAGTGAAGTTTTACAATCATACAGGGAGAATTGTAAAAAAGGGTGGAGGAGAAATGCTTTACTCTTCTAAATTGGTAAATATATTCTTGCATATTTTATAACAGAACCAGTAACGTACGCAGTGCATTTTTTGGTTAGTGCTAGCATGGCTTCATGACAAGGTAAACCTGAAACATAAAGTGAGTTGTAATGCAAGGCAGCAGTGACTATTGAATTGTCTTTGAAAGAGGCTTGATCATGCAAGTATGTGGAAATGACCTGCACTGTAAGGCATAATGTGTAAAATGCTCCAAATCTTCCAGAGATTTATTGGCCTTACATAGAACACAGAAAAACAAATAAGAGAAAATTGAATTAATACATGAGGAATCTGTTACAGCCTGTGGAGGTGTTAATATGCGGTTGGAAAGTGCTTGAGCTAATCTAAAACACGTTTTTGTTAAGGAAAAGGGGTGTTCTTTCACCATCTGGTCCTGCACCTTCTCTTCTGCTGACACTGGTAATAATTTAATCCCTCTGCATGCCAGTTCATCTCAGTAATCCTGCAGGAAACTTTGCATTCTTCTTGCAGTGATGGTTTTGTACAGCGAGAGAGGCTCAGCTGGGCTTGTCCCCTCCAGCTGAACTCACCTTCTCTGATTCCAGCCTGCACGTGGACACTGGGAGTTTCTTCCATAACTGAGTGGAGGTGGAGCTATCCTGAGCTAGGTCTGCATAGTAAGGAAGAGCAGAGAAAATGAAGAACAGCTCTTCAGTTTTTTTTCCCCGCCCTCTTGAGCAAAGTCAAAGTGATCTTGCTGTCTGTGCTTGGAGTCAAGGACCTACCTTAATGTTCCTGCATACTGCAGAGGCTGTGGACATGGAGTTTTCAGTATGCAGAGAGATGTGGAGCATGGCTTTTCTCTTGCTGCTTGACTGGCAGGAATCTGACAGTCTTTTGGCAAGCTCTCCTGCCTTGGAGCCATTCTTGAATGTTTCTTTTGGACAATTGTATTACAGTGAGGATTCATTAAATCTGGGGATTTTCTTTGACATAAGGCACATGTACATACATCCACCAAGAGGCATCTATTTCAGATTAGCAGGGGTGGAATACGAAGAGCTGCTGTGCACTTTGTTCCAAGTCCACAAAATCAAGGAACTACTGAAATTAAGCCAGGGAAAATAACTTTCCGCTGCTGGACTTCCTGAGCAACCTTAACAGTGATGGTGTTTCTCCTTACCTTGCTGTACTGGCAGCAGGCTTTTCTCTGCATGAACACATGAGGGTGTTTCACGTGATTGCTTACGTTGGGAAGTGATAGCCTGATAAGTGTTTGTGAGCCAAATAGTAGTGGGGAGGCCTGTGGAAGGCTTTGAGGTACGTGGCTTGCACTATAACAAATACTGAATTCCTCTATGGTGTTGCTTATTTGTTTTAGTATGATCACTAAAAGACCTGAGATTTTTGACTGGTTTTTACAAAGAACGGCATCATACTTGGAAATAGTGAGAATTCCTGACACTTGGTTAAAAAACTATTATAATGTGCTAGATGGTGGATAAAGTGCAGTTAGCTCTGTCCTGTAGGGTAACTCAGTTGTGCTTGAGCTGTTTGACCTCCCAGGGGGATGTGGGACCATTTCCTAATCATTCCTTCCTGAAACAGTCAGTGTCTTGCCTTGAGTGTTTTGCACACTTGACAGGGAGCAGTTTCATTAAAAGTGTATTGGTATAACTCACCTTTTATATCTCATTCTTTAGAAATGGATTGCTTTACTGATTTTTATCTCAGTATATTTGAATACAAAAGATAAATGCTTTTATCTTGCTTTTTTTTTTCTCCATAAGAATCAGTGCCTGTGCATTTACTTTCTGGTAAAGCATAACGTGCCCGAGAAGACCGTTTAATAAATCAAACACGCTTCAAAATTGAATTGGAGTGGAAATGGAGAATGTATTTGAAAAGCATATGTTCTGGACAGGTTATTAAAGTGAGATTTGCAATGGCTAAGGCTTGCAGCTTTGCACTGCACAGTTCAATGTGGAGGCAGCTGTAAACATTGCTGTGTGGGGTGGGGAAGACCAACCATGTTCTGTTTTCATACTCTGTGCCTATGCTGTTGTTGCAGTCCAAAATTTCTGATGCTGTTCATGTGCTGAACCTGTCAATGGTTTATGCAGGCTCCTGGGAGAACCCAGTCCATGATGTACTTCCTAGCAACTCTTTTGCTGTTCTGCAAGCACAGGTCTTTTGGAGTGGCATGCTGGGCATAGTGTGCTGTTGAGGCTCCTCTTCGGCAGCATCTGCTTTTACTGAGACACTTCCCTCTATAGCTGAGGGTTTGTGCTATTTACAGGGTGATGCCCTCTCCTTTTCAGTAAGTCAGCTGATGAAAGATTGCAAAGAGGAGGGAGGGTAGGAGCTGACTGCTGCCTTGTGATCATGGCAGTTACAGCATGGAAGCTACAGGCTTGTGCCGACAGTGGCAAGACTAGCATGGAGTGAAACCTGAGCAAGTGGATGTGGTATATGGGTTGGTAGGAGAAAATAAGAGGTCGTGCTAGATCTGTGTAGGGACTGGGAAGGCAGCAGGTCCAGAAGACGCCATCTTGAAAGAGAATTTTGACATATGGTCAAGAAGCTAGAAATTTTTGTGTTTTGGAACAAGCTAGATAATAAGAAAACTGTTTTAGATCTTTTGTAAACTCTAGATTGCCTCCCGGGACTTCCCTTTGCAATGTTGGTTTTAAAAATAATACCAAAAAATACTGTCATGCATTGATAACCAGCCTTCCTGACCCTCAAGCCTTCACCATGGCTGTGCTGTGTGATAGCAACCTGGAGTACTCAAGGCAGTTTGAGCTGAGCATTCCTCAGGAGTCCCAAATCCCCAGTGTGGGCTGGGTACCTACCTGTTTCCCTTTCTTAATGAAAAAACTCAAAAATGGCAATGCTAGACAGACACATTTCAGGTCACTTCCAAGCATTTCAGTTGCCAAGCGTAGCCATCTCAAGAGTCGCAGGCTGACTATTGTCCTATTATATTGTCTCTGGTTAAATACAACTAGATATTTTCAGAGTTCATATTTTACGATTTAGCCGTTTTAATAATTCAGTACTGAATCTGAGGTTGACAGAGGCAGGCAGATTTTGCTGACTGATATATCATCCTAAGATAATTACAATAAAAGAGCTACCTTGCTCTTTTATGGTAGTACACTCTGAAGCATGCTCTTGCACACCATTATTCATATTACTCGTGATATGTGATTGCTAGCACAAGTCTAGGAAGATGTGCTAAATCCTGGAGCAGGCCTTTGCATGCATTAGCAATTGACGTATGTGTCTAGCTCATTTCAAGGATCACAGTTGTGGTACCGCATGCCATATGGCAGCTGTGGGGCAAAATTTTATTTATACAGACACAAGAAGTTCAATCAAAGGTTCCTCTAGCTTGGAATGGCCTGGTACTCTGATCAGGAAGGTGTTTTTTCCAGGGTCGTTCTGGGACTGTTGACTCTTCTGACTTAAATCAGTTTCTGCTATTAAGGTTTTGGGAGTGAGTGAAGATGCTATGTTCACACTCTTTGGACTAGGATGCAGCTAGTGTTCTGGTGTAACAAGGTTAAGTATTTGATGATAAACTCGTGCCATTATTTTAATGTTTGTAATGACAGATATTTTTTATTATATGGCATCTGTTATTTTATTTAATTATTTTTATTAATTTTTTTTTTTTTTGCTAGATGAGGGCTATTACCAAGGTGGAAAGTTTCAGTTTGAAATTGAAGTTCCTGATGCCTACAATATGGTGGTGAGTATTTGTCATTAATCTAACAGTAGTAACTTTAGATTTCCTTTCCAGGTAATAGGACTGCAGAGGGAACTTGGCATTGAGACTAAGAAAGGATCTTCTGTCTGTTACTAAAATATCATGGGTTTATAGAAAAATCTTGATTGCCTGGAGTTTTTGGAGGTCATCTGAACTCCTGCTTACAGTTGGGGTAATATTAAAAGTTGGATTTGCTGGTCAGGGCTTGGGACAGGTAGCATTTCAATATTAAGATGGAGATTCTGCAGCCTCTCTGAGCCTCTGTTCCAATGTTTAATCACCTTTGTGAATTTTTTTCCTATATCAATTCAGAATTTTCCTTTTTCCAGCTTGTCTGTTGCCTCTTGCTTTATCACTGTGCACCTCGAAGAAGAGCCTGACTCCATCTCCTCTGTACCTTCCCATTAGGTAGTTATAGACAGCAATAGGGTCCCCACCTTCAGCCTTCTCTTCTCCAGGCTGAACAAATCCAGGTCCCTCAACTCTTTGTACTGCACGTGCTCTGGTCTCATCACCACCTTGGTGGCTGCTGGGCTCACTCCAGTTTGTCAATGTATCTGATACTGGGGAGTTCAAAATGGGACATAGTAATTCCGGGTGCAGTGTCATGAGTCCCAGGGAGTGGGAATAATCATTTCTCTGGCTATTCTTTTGCAGTCCAGTGTTTGTAACCAAACAGCCTTGAGGCTTTTATTGCCTCAATGATATCATTTCTTAAGGAGAAAGTAAGTATCTGCAACTGTCTGGCAGAGGCCACTCAGAAGCGCAGATGAGTCAGGCCCGAGAGTCTTCCCTGCACCTGAGGTTTCATGCTCCTCTGTTCTGTTAATTCTTGAGACCTGCACTTAATGATTATTCTTACCAAAAAATGGTATATCTATAAGAGAAAGAATAAAATAGGTAAACGGAAAGGAAAAGTCTATTCTTTTTGTTTCTCTGGGGCATTCAAACTGGTGCTTATAGTTCTGATATTGGACATAGGTGCTTAATCCCTTTTGAGAGCATGCAGTGGAGGACGTGGAAAGCACAGATATGGTGACAAGTGGCCTCCTTTAGTGCTCTCTGACAGTTCTGCTGGTTGTCTCCCAGGCTGTTAAGTTAAGTGTCTTTTAAAAATAACAATTTCAATGATTATTAAGCAAATGGCTTTCCAGAGAATATGCCAATGATTGTGGTATCTTATTGTAGAAAAATAGAAAGCTCCAGGCAGCTTGGCCTTTTCAAGCATGAGGAACATTGTTATTTCATTATTGTGCTTTACTAAAATTGTAGAACCTTGCAAGGGAGGAGAGGTGCAATTACAGTAAAAATAACTCCAGACATTGTTTTCAGAGTTTAGCTGTCAAAAGAACAAGATTGACTCCAAAAATGGAAAACAATTGAGGCACATGTCTGGTTCTCAGGGAGTTACACCTGCCATTCTATATCCCAGTAGATTGATATGTAAGGAAACTAGACTCTTGAGCAATTGAGGTGCGATATTTGCATTTGGGTATATGAATTGCAGGAAGAAGGAAGCCTCGTTTTCTTTTCGTTTTAATGGTTTTGATAATTTTGCTTGCTTTTGTAACTCTCTTTCCCACCATTTTGCTTTCTGTTTTCTTACTTTTGGTGTTGATAGTTCAGATCTCTTCTTTTAGAGAGGCCAAAGAATGTATGGGGGAGGATACAAGCTAAATGGCTCCTGTGTTCAGATACACCAAGTCTAAGTTCAGCATTATATATATATATATATGTAGTAGTTGCAGTCGCAGCATTGTTTATATACAAATATGAAGGAGGTGCAGTGGTCTGGAATGTAATAGCTTGAATTCCCAGACTGAGCTTGGAGAACAGTGCATTAACACTGCTAGTAGAGTAGAAAGGTTATGTTTCTGAGATTGGAGGAGTTGGGTCTGCATTCCAGAAGATGTCTTCACAGGTTTTCTATTACTCCTTTATTTATAGTCTAGTGGGACATTCACTGTATCTTATAAAAAGTTCGTGCTTGTGGAGGACTATAGTGTTTCTGAAACAGCTTTGAATTTTCTCCCTCCTTTTTTTGATAGTCTTGCTCTCCTTTCATAATAATACTGTTCAAGGATTATCTGCTTAAGCTGGTTTTATTAGGATCTATGATCCCGGCTCTCTCTATTGATACACTTCTCATAGTATGTGTAAGTGTTATAGATAGTGTTTGCAGTTGTCTGGTTTTGGTTGTGGTTTTTTTTAAGTTTCCCTTAACCTCACCAAAGAATTTCATACTGTAATGCAGGCCACACTCACTAGCTTGTGTGTAGTTACTTATACACTATAAATACAAACGTGTTCATTTAACGTTGACTACACCAGTATAAAGGGGGCAACTCTGTTGTGTTCTATGCTGTCTGATTTTATTTTTTTTTTAAGTCATCTTCAGTAATAGCAGTTTCACCACTGTGGCAATCCTGGGCACAGGGGAACATACACAATACATATACTCATTCTAATTTCTTAAATTTTTGTGTTTAAGGTGTTCATTTAAACAACACTGCTGCAGGAAAGTATTTGCTATGTGTTAACAGGAGAGCTAAATGTTAATTTTGGTCTGTGTTTTTTTTGTTTCTCAATTGCTATAATTAAAAAATCTTCCGATTTCTTATGGTTCTCTGCTCAGCACTGGCAGAAAATCCGAAGCAAATGTTAATTAGAGGTTTTAAAATTCTGAGCACCCCTCATTCAACACAAAAGTATAAAGTTTGCCTTTGTGCAATTTAGAAAAAAAATGCAGAAGGTTAAATGTTGGATTATGGTCAAGTTATTAATGAAAATGTGTATTTTCACAAATCTTGAGGTAATTATGCTGAGGCCATGCTTTGTTTTCTGCCAAGCAGAGTAGGACTGAAACAAGTGATGGCAGTGTTTTCAATAGAGCTCTTCAGGCTTGCCAGTGCTTTTTCAGCCCATAGGCAGGGTTAGGATATTGCACATTGCATCAAACTCCTTGCAGTAGTGCTGAACATGTTTGTGTTGGGAGTAAAAATACCAGGCAAGACTGGCAAGTCAGTATAGCCCTGCTTCAGAGCCTGCATCCGTTTTCTAGCTAATCCTTTTAGCTTGCAGAAAAAAAACACATCTGTTTTTAAAGCTACAAAATACATAATTTATAGTATAGTTTCTGTAACGGCATCCTTTAATTTCTGTAGCTGTTACCAAAATCCAGCGTGTTTGCTGCTTCTCTGGGGAATACTTTTTTTACCCTTCATTGCTCATAAGCAAGAGTCCAGCTTCTGCTTTGGGAAAAGAAGTGATGTGTACAATGTTGGCGTAGTGGAAGCATGTAAGAATATATAACTGAAGAGGAAGAACTTGGAAGATACTGTGTTGTGGACTACAACCATGGCATACTACTCTGGCCAGACAGTGAAGTATTGGAAGCTCGTTTGGAAAGTAGTGGGTCTGTGAATACAGAGAAGTAATATATCCTTGTGATTCAGGTGTGACTGACTAGGATGTACACAGTCTTTTGGTACCTGGGCCATAAACTTCCTTAGTGCCAAAGGTTCAAGACCTTCAAGTGGGAGGGATGCTTTGCAGCATGGATATTTTGGAGCAAGCACTACTGAAGTGTGGCCTCCTGCTTGTGAGCCAGCACACAGCTGGTTGGGGTTTAATCAGACTTCTGTACCATTGAGCTGGTGTAGTGAGTATTGGAAATGTTTATTATGATTATCTGTAAGGCAATAAAATATTGTAAGGGTTCTTCCACTGTATCCATAATTAACTGAACCTATTTAAGCTGTCGGAGATGTGGATAATTTTAGAAGCATCTGAGCTTGAGAGTCAAAAGGTTTCCCAATTTTAATCAGCCATTGGAGGCATGAGGATGATTCGGATAGATTTGTGCTACAGTGCTAGTAGTAATTTGCACCACCCTACTCCTGCAGGCGATGGGCTGCATTTCACTCTGTGCTTTACAGAAAGGCTGAAGAGAGGTAAGATGGCTCACCACGGGCTTTTCCTAAAGCAGTGTGTAAGCATCTGATTCAAGCTGGCTGCTTTTTGGAGCCTTGGGAGAACCTGGCATTGTGTCTGCAGAATCCTCTGCTCAGAGTCTGAACTCTTTCACGGCCAAAATTTTCATGATGATTTTTTTTTTTTATAATACTGTTTTAGGGGCATACCATAGATGCAACCAGTAGGCTTGAGTTTTTGATGTTTTCTGGACTGAATGTAGTTCTTCCCATAAGCACTGTCCATATCCTGAGTATAAAAAGAAAAAAAAAGTAATTAATCCTGAGAGTCCTATTTCCCTCTAAAGTTGGAGCTAATCTGTGTGGAAAGATACTACAGTGAGAAAGCAAGGGTATTTATATTTAACTTGGGGGGGCGCATTAAAAGTCTTTGGAAGATCAACAATTTTGTGTTCTGAATTGCTTTTAAAAGTTTCAATATTTTTTTTCTCAATTATTCTGTAAAGACAACTGCTAAAATACTAAAAGACATGTCAGTCTCTGCTAGTATATGACGGTTCCCTCCTGTCCCAGGCAGGGAGTGTGGGATGTACCTGCTCCACAGTTCAAAACACTTCATATTTCATGATATTTGGGAAGAAAAATGGCTGATCCCTGCTTGCATATCCATATGTGCATGAAACTGCCCTTAATACCTTGCATACTTTCCAAGTGTGCTGTTCTTTGTATCCTTAGCAAGTATACAGAGTGAAGGAAAGACTTCTTTAACAATGTAATACATTATTTACCAGATAGCCTGTGGACTGCTTTCTTTGACAGTGATGGGATACTGTGTCAGAACAGAAAGCAATTGGTACTGATACAGATGTTGCAGAGGGATCATGAGAAGAAAACTGGAGCAGGGTTAGTTAATTTTGTAGTGTCTCCTCAAACTACCATGCCATTAGAAATATTATAATCTGTTGGTAAACCTGTTACTTGGCTTTTTAAAGTATTATTCTGTTAGGAAACAGGCTGCATGTTCATGAGCAAACAGAAGTTTGCTAGCGTTTGTGCTTACAAAACCTGATGGGAATTTTGCTGTCCATACAGACATCAGAGGAGGCTGAGAAAGAGGAAGCAAAATATTTCATGGTGTACAGAGGAAATGCCTTTAGTGCCAAGTGCTGGTGCCTGACTTGTCTCTGTAGCATCTTTTCCCCAAGCACTAATTTTTTTGGTTGACCAGCTGCCCAGAAATAGGGGTCAGTGGGAGATGTGAGCAAATATTATTTAAAAAAAATAAATATAATAATAATTAAAAAAATATCTAATGGTGGGGGAAATTGATTTAAAAAACCCAAACAAACAAACTCTTTTTCTGCCTTGTGATGCAGTTGATGTAATAATGGGTGCTAGAAGACTAGGGACCTGGTGCTTTAAGGAATTGAACCTGATTAATAGTACAGATCTGGTTTAACGCCTATGTAAAACTAAACTGTCTGCCACCACAAGCCGGACTTTGTAGCTCCTGTGGTTCTGACATATCATGTTGTCAAAGTAGACAGTCTTAGGGACTCTGCAGTTTACCAAGGTTTTTCTGACATGAGGTGCCTTAGGCAGTGGTCAAAAGCCAGGAATTTAACAGCAGAGCTGCTAATCTTAGTCCTTTTTCTGGCCAATACGTTGTGGAAACTGCAAGGAATTGAAAGGGATTTTGGTTCCTGAAGGGTTGGATGTCATGATTAAGGGGCTTCTATCTACCTCTTTGGTGACCCTACTTTATACAGATCTTGGATTAGAACCAATGAAATGAGAATTGGGCTTGTGCTCCCTCATGCCTCCATATGGAAATTTTGAGGTGGTGCAAGGAAGCTTGGGGACCTGAAGTGCTCGCCGTGGGCAATTCTTGTCTCAAGGCCCACTCCTACTGTAAGGCAGCTCCTCTTGCACTTACTGAGCTGGGTAATCCATTCCATCGAAAGCACAGGACAGTGTGGTTTTGTTTTCTATGACTCATTTCTCTGTACTATGTGCTTAGCTGTGTTTGATGTTCACTTTTGGCTGATCACAAGAAGTTCTTCAGGAACTGGTAGGGGAGAGTGGCAAGAAATACCTTAAAGCTAGCTTGTAGCTTGGTCTCTGGAATCTGTATTCTTTTGGGGAATTATGTTTTGTAGAAAATATAAAGAAAAAAATGGTGTCATAGTTGCAGGGCAGTTTATGAGAATGCCTTGGGGCTATAGGGTCTAGAAAAAGATTCTCCAGGGAAAAGGTTGTGAAACGAAAAACTGCAGTTACAGGATGGTTAAACCGTATCTATATTAATACACTTGTCACGTTAGAATGCCAAATTGATCAAGATCTGAAATTGTTATTTGAGTTCATTTATTGATTGGCACTTTATATTCAATCTCTCATTTGCTGAGAATAATGGAGGGGAGAGTTTTCTTTAAAAATGCAGCTAATAATGAGACAAACTTTATCTGAAGCTTGTCCTGCAAAACTTCTACCAAAGCTGAGGTTGGTATATGCGTAGTTCTCAAATGCTTGCAACGCGTTCTTGTACCCTCTATATGTATTCACCGATATCCATCCTAACCAATACCCATATTCATCCGATATTCTATCATAACATGAGGAGGAACTTCTTTACTTTGAGGGTAGTGGAGCACTGGAACAGGCTGCCCAGAACGGTTGTGGAGTCTCCCACTCTGGAGACATTCAAAACCCGCCTGGACGCTGTCCTGTGCAACCTGTTGTAGGTGACCCTGCTCTGGCGGGGGGGTTGGACTAGATGATCTCCAGAGGTCCCTTCCAACCCTGACCATTCTGTGATTCTGTGATATGTTGAAGTGGAGTGAGGATGGATATGAAAGCCAGACAGTTTCCACTAGCAAAAGTAATGAGAGATCCTAAAAGATAAATGGCTGCTTAGGAATGGAGAAGAAAATCAGTTTGTTCAGTGTTGTGACCTCTAACTGAAGTTGGATCTACCTCTGCAGCTTTCAGCATCTAAGGCAAAGGATGATTTTGAGCAATGAAATAAGTGAATTTTGTAAGCTTTGTCACGCGTATCACCTGGAGACAGTTGGAGGTATTCAAGTGAAACATCACCTCGAAGAAATCTTGTGTGGATTTGTTGGTCTAAGGAAGACTCAAACGATGACTGGAACAAGCTTGAAGGATTAGTTTTGTCTGAAGATAAATTTTATGATAGTGCTGCAGTTGTTCTGCCAATCTAACAGAGGAAGAAGAAGAGAGAAAGAGAAAACCTGTCAGGAGAGGGTTTTTCTAATTTTTAATGATGAAAAACGCTTTGATGAAAGCATAAAGGAATTCCTTTGTTTTCAGCATACAAAAAAAGGAGACATCAGTTAATTCACTCAGACTGTGAGGATTTGGGGATTGCTTTTTGTTTTAGAAAGATTTAGTTTGTATAAAACTTACTTTTTTCTACTGTTTAATACATTCCATGTTTGAAGGTGCATATGGTAGAAATTTACTCTTTTATCTTGATCTACTGGCATGGAATAAATACTGCTGCTTTCCCTTTCTTAGGAACTAGACATAATCTTTCAAAACAACATGAAGGTGTAGCTAATGAAAAGCTGTGCTGTTAGAAAACTTCTTAGAAGAACATTTGTTTTGAAAGTAAAAAGTTTTGAGACTGTTTTCTGCATGCCACTTAACTTTCAGTAATGCTGTGATCCAGCACTGGGGCAGTCAGTATCCCTTGAGTTATTGGACAAACATGAAATAAGAATGGAGAAAAGTCAATGTCTACATTATAAATGGCAAATGTGTTGTGGTGATAGGTGTTTCTTCTTTTAGTGCTGGACAGGTATATTATAGGTGGTTCAGTACCATGCATATTTTCTTTTCTCTTCTCCAAGGAGTCTTAGTTAAAAAAAAAATTTACTAAAAAGATAATTGGGAAGTTGAGAACAAAGTGATGAGGCAAAACACATCATGCTGCTATGCAAATACAGCTGTTCAAGCTGTTTTGTCTCTTGACTGAAGACTTCATGGGAAACAGTGGAGGAAAATAGCTTCACATCTATAGTATGTGATTTAATTGAAGTTATGAGAGGTACTGGTCTGTGCTGATGTATTCCAGTACACTTACTATAAGAAATAATCTGCTTGATTGAAAGCTGCAAATTGTAATTTGGAAAGCATGGATGGAACGACGTGCTGTTGCTAAGCTACCGGAATTTTTATGACCTGCTCTTTATTTATTTCACAAAACTAGAGCTAATGAGACTGTATTTTAAGGATGTGTATTTCAAAACCGACTGTGGAATTCAGAAATCTGGTGATGATGGCTGAAAATAAGTTTGGTGGCTTTTTATGTTAGTGTCTTAAGTTCAGGTATGTCGTGCCCTCTTGATGCTTCTTGTGATACTTACTATTCAATTGTGAACAGGAAGGTCTATGTTTAAAAGAAGCTGTTCTTTTCATGTAGTTATTATCATTGCATCCTCTGCTGGTTTTTAACGAACCCCGGACTTGGATAAGCCTTGGGGGAAAATGCTTAGTAGTTTTCTGGTTTAAATTGTTGTCTTCCTGGTTAGGTGTTAAGAAACAGAATGACACAGAATGTCTTCTTTCCTTGAAGTAACTAGGGTAAGAGAGTAAATTTTTTTGGCTTTCTTTAAAGTTATGTTTTTCTAAGAAAAAGCCTAATACTACCCCAGCTTTTGTAAAGAGTTGAGAGAAGCTAAAAGGGCAGAGAAAGCTGGTGTAACTCCTGTAGGTTATATTATCAGTGTCTTTACATACAAACGTGTGCTCTGAATATCTAATATATTTGCCTTATTGAGTTCTGTGACTTGTAACAGTGATACATTTTTGTTTTAAATAATAACATTGTAATTTGTTTTCTTTCCTGGCAGCCTCCAAAGGTAAAATGCTTGACAAGAATCTGGCATCCGAACATTACAGAGACGGGAGAAATCTGCCTAAGGTAGCAACAGCATTCTCTTTTTTTTAACCTTGGAGGTTTTTCTGCATGATAAAACATTGTATATAATTTTCATGCCAGTATCTCTTTCAACAGATTCTGCAAATTAATGGCACGTGACCCTTAGGCACTTAGAGCTACAGAAAGTATTATTCTTGCTGTGTGTCAGTGACCATGTAGAGCTCTCTGTAAGAGTCTTAAATCTTCAGGTTAAGATTTAATGTTTTGTTCTACTTAGGGTAAAAATGTAAACTCCAACCTAAACATAACTTAGGTTTTTTCTTTTCCTCCCTCCGTAGATGAATAGTCCTCAGGCTCTGAGAGCCTGAGAGGGCTTAAGGCTTTACTTGTTTTAGTGCCTGAATGTGTTAAGTGCTTGAAAACCATTTATATTTCAAAAAGGAAGGAAAAAGTGTTCCGTAAACTTTGACAGTAACTATTCTATATTTGCCGTTTGTTTATTTTAACATTTAATATCCATATAAGACACACGTGCCAATTATAACAAAACAGAGTTGCAGCAGTCTAGGTCAAAATATGAAGCCCAAAAACTTTAATTTACCAAAGCAAGAGGCTTATGTGCTGGGTGGTTTTGCTTGATAATACATGTTTCCTCTTCAAAATCAGTTTCTGAAACTTTGTAATTTCAGTGTTTCATCATGAGTACCTGATGGTGAAATTAGCCGGAAACCAAACATAAACTGAAGTGAGAAGCATTACTGTTGTTTTTCAAGTTAATGGGTCTTAAAAGGAAAAAAACTAGATGAAGCAGAAGAAATTAAAATAAGTGAGATTGAAAGCTGTTCTGAAAATCCAAAACAGTTTCCACCATGCAAATTAGTGCTTAGGAAAAAAACAACTAAATGTTTCCCCTAGATTTAAAAATCATTTTAATGTTGTGTTCGAGGTCCTGGTGAAAATGAAGTTTTCACAGGGTAATCTGTTACTTCATAGGCAGGTCAGGTTCATCAGCAAATAAAAGCTAAACAGCTGCAGAGTTGGTGTCAGTGCTTTTAGCCACAGTAGTCTGCTTCGTGCTTCTGAGAAGCTCATATCATCAAAGGGTGATAGAAACCAGCCTGGGGAGGCTGTAGTATGTTCCTTGTGCTCATTAGTGCGAGACTACTGCAGCAGGAGTACAGTCCATAGACTTTACCTCACTTCGGGATTGGAGGATTTAAAAGTGGTGGAAAATGGACTAAATGTTCTCAGATTACCTAAAAATCTGGTTGTCCACAGTTATTTGAAACTCTATGCTGGTGATACAGGAAGGCTGTTTTGGGAAATACATACTGCTACTTTTACCAAATCTGTTAGCCCTGTGGTATTTCTCAGTGTGTCCCAGGACTGTTGAATTTTACACAGCTGAACTTGTGACTTGACAGTAGGGAGACTGATTTAAGGATCACGTTTTAACAATTTAAATTTCACTGGAGTCCTTGCGGCTTAGTCAGTGGAGAAAGCTTAGACGCTTTGAGTCAAATGGTGTAAGTAAAGGAATGGATAAGTGAGCTGTCTGGAACCGGGGAACAAGAAATACTAGACACCAAGCAACAGCTAAAAGTTTAAGCTCTGACAACAGTGCTATGTCTTCTGAGGTTAAAGCAAGCCTCTTCACATTCTTGAGGATATTTCACTGTTTTTGTTTTTAGATGGTTTTAATTATGAAAGATGAACACAGTGTTGGAACATCATAATTCTACTTAATGAAGTCATTTTTTCAGCATCTGCAATGAAACATCAGCTTTATTTGATTGTCAGATACTTTAACATACCAAACCTTTGAAATGTCTTACCATTTAGATGGGGAAGCTAAAATAACTTAGATTGCTTTATGTCTGTTATAATGGAGAATGCACTCTATATATAGTACCTGCAATCAACTTATACAAGAGTCTTTACATTAAAATAGCTTCAGTTATTTTTAAAAGCAGAGAAAAATTCCTTGCCAGTATTTTTCCCAACTGTCTTTTACTAAACATGCCTCACGCTATGGTATGTGTTGGTTTGATAATCATCCCCGAATTAAAACATACTAACTGATATACTTGACCACAAGTTTATGGTATGTGTTGGTTTGATAATCATCCCTGAATTAAAACATACTAAATGATTAACCTTGTGGTCAAGTATATTAGTTTTGGGCAGGAAAAGTGGTGTTTCTCTGTGCTTTATGGATTGCAGTTACTCTGGACCATGTTAATAATGGACCATATTAAGTAGATCTGGATCATACTTGTGGATATTGCCTCCACAGGTCATGTGGATAGAAAACTTTTAGAGTAGTTTAATCGCTCAGAAATTTAACTGCAGTTTGCTACGTGGTGAGGTGGTCGTGTTGTTGGATGTGTCTTTCATCAGTAGGTGTTGATAGTTAAGATTTGGTCACTTCATGATGCAATATTAAAGGCTGAGTGTTTGAAGACTGATTAATTGTATCATCTAGTGTGGCTCAGTGTTGCAATTTCTCCAGTTGTAAAAGCTGATTTATGCTGATTGCTTGTTTCTGTTTCCCAGTGCTGTTCCCAGTCTCCTCAGCTGTAGCAATGCAGAAACAAAAAGCTTTTTAGAAAGACTGTCTACATCTATTTCTCTGCTCATCCAGTCTATAGTATGGCCTTCAGAATGGTTGCAATGGTGGAGCTGGGTTGAGCAGGGAGGTGGGCATAGGGAGGTGAGCAAGAGAGTAACCCGTGTGATGTGTCCCTTCCTGTGGAGGGTTTCTGAAGTGGATTTTCAATTCAAACTTACCTTGAATGGTACTTTCTGCTGGTAAAAGGAAGGCAAAAGTTTTGTTGGAACTGGCATTTTATGTTGATAAATGTGTTTGTCTGAGATCTTTACGTAAAGCAGACTTTTCTCCTGGACTCATCTCCCCATTGCAGTAATTCTAGTCATTAAAGCTGTAAATCACGTCAGCTGGACTTCCAGAAAGCTTTAAGCTTGCTAGAGCCATGCAATTCCCAGTTCAGTAGGTGTTTTTGCAAGGTCTCTTTAGGATGCTGTGTGTTTAAAAAGAAAAAAACATCCTCAAAGCTTTTCTCCAGGCAGAAACTACTCACAGAATGAGAAGATATTTGTGGAAACGAAAGCTGAGCAGCTGGCTGGTCACATCAGTGGCTGTTTTGGTTACTATAGCTTCAAAAATAATGTTTTTGGAGTCTTCCCATAGGAACTCGGATATAAGGATTTGAAATTATGTTCTGGGAGGTCTCCCTTGATACGAACACCAGATGTTAAGGCGTGGTTATCGGTTCCAGTCCCCCCATGACTGAGGACCCGCTTGGTTTTTCTCAGATCCTACTACAGCTGAAGACAAAGCATATGGAAATAGTGCTTTACTGTCCCTCCCCATTCCTGGTGAAGTTCCTCGCCTGACAAACTCCTGCTTGTGCCACAGCACTCCCCCTCTGGTCAGCCCTGCCACCTCTTCCCCAAGGCATGCACTCACTCAGGAGCTTTAGTAATCTGAAATGCTGCAGAAATTGTACAGTTGATTTACCCCTCTCTTTACTTTTGCAAATTCATTCTCAGGCATCACAAAGGGAAGCTTCTGAATGTTTATTCAATCTAAATAATACTAGATGAGCTTTCTGTGACTCCTGGCAATTTTAGAATAGTCACTTTAAGTAAACAGGTTTTCCTGCCCATCAGGTGTCCTGAAACCCTGGTAGAACAGGTGGCTTTTGTGGTATATCTGGCAGCTCATCAAAGGCGGCCTCTTGAAGCACTGAGTGGGTGAGAATAATTCTGCTGGTTGTGCCATTTGAGAACTTCCTAGTAGCCCAGCTCCTCTATGGCAGCAGGACCTGTGGATGACATGTCTTTGATCAGAAGCTACGTGCAGAAGCTTGTTCATCCACTAGACTAGTTCATGATGGGTTTTGTGTATTTCTACTCATTTAGGTGTTTATTCTGTTGTTTGTATGTATGATGTTCTGAGAGCAGATCACCACTCAGACCTCCAAAACGCCTGGCAGTTATATCTAGGTCATCCCTGTGGAGAGGGCAAGACACCATTTCTCTAGACACCCTGTGCTGGGAAAAGGTTTTGATTAGGGGCCTAATGATCATTACAAATTTGTAGGAAGTAAGAAGGGTGCTGCTCTAAAAATGAATTATATCAGCAAGTGAGAAATATTAGGCAAAGGTACACTTGTCTATCTTCATTGCTTTTCTGCCAGAGCTCTGTAAGGGTTATGAGTGTCGCCTCTCAAGTCCTGGTTGCTGATGTCCTCAGCTGGAGATGTGCCCAGAGAGCTGTGAGGCTTTGGGAAGCTGGAAGAGTGTTAATGACACTTAGCTGATATGGTTAGGCACTTTGACCTCTATCAGTGGATATTTTTGTGCTTTTTTGGTGTGTGTTAACTTATTCCTTGCTCTAAAGTTCACAGTGAGCTATATGAAGAGGCAAAGGGGAGTACTGTAGCATAATTTTATGAAGAACAGACAGAAAGCAAGCTAAAAAGTACCTTATTTGCTCAAAACCTGAAAATCCTGGCTCTTGTCTGTTAAGGAGCATTTTTGCTTTTACCTTTGTAATATGAACAAAAAAATTGCAGCCACAAGATGCTATTTTTAATGTTCTTGAAATTAGTTTTGAGCTTCGCTAGTGGTAATGGCATATTTTATCTTTTTAAGGGCACAGAAATGAGATTAGCAGCACAGTTAAGATGGAATAGTCTGGTCCAGTATGATCATCCTGGTCCTAGCCTCTCTATGTTGAACAAAGAGTAATGCTAGTTGTAGTATATTTCCTTGGACTAAAAACTTGGCACATTCAATAAATAACTCTATGGATAGCCTATATGGTGCAGTCATCTACTGTAATTTAAAAATGACTTAATACCTGTCATCCTGAAGGTTGGTAAAACCTAATAGTTTAAGACTATTTTACTTTATCCTGCTTTCATCCAGCAGTAGAAGCTGCTGGCAGTGATGAATTTTTGTGCTTTGCAACTTTGCTGTATGAGTTTTCAGTTTTAGATTGCTTCTTAACAGGAAGACATGATTCTGAAATGATGCTTCAAGGAGTTTTCCAGACTCTTTCTTTCTCATTCAGATTATTACTTTTGCTTTCACAAATGTGAGCAAGACTTCAGCTTATCTCTCAATTATGCTCTGGTCTCTTATATTTTTACTT